GGGGGAACGTTGTTGGCCGGGTCCATGCAGTTGTTGTTTTTTTTTTTAAGATTTTTTTATCCTTTTCGTTTTGTTCGTTTTCTTTTCTTATTAAACATTTGTAGAGCAATGGAACGTGCGCCATCATTGATTTTATGACGACGGTACTATCGCCTTTATTATGTGTTTTGAACTTCAAGTTGTACAACGTTTTTTTTTACCATCCTTCTATAACTGTGTGGGCATGTCGCGGTTCCAATTTCTCTCCTGCTCATTCTCTAGTGGGATGTATGTTGCATGTCTTCGGGGATAGTCCCACCAGAGTCATATCGACGGGTTCTATTAAAAAAAAATATATCATTATTTTATTAAATGTGTTTTTTATTCCTCCCTCAATCGCAGTTCCGCAACGCACTTGGCGTCATCGTGAAACATCCATGAACGAAAACAAAGTACCCATCAATCAATCAATTGATCAATTGATCAATACATCAATTGACCAATCGATCAATCGATCAATCGATCAATCAATCAATCGATCAATCGATCAATAAATCAATCAATCAATTCATCGATTGACTGATCATTTAATCAATCAATCAAAAGATCAATCAAATAATCCATCAATCAATCAATCGATCAATCAAAAAATTCATCAATTCATCAATCAATCATCCAATCAATCAATCGGTTAATCGATCTATCAAACAATCAATCAATCATTCGATAAATCAATACGCAAATTGCAATAACAAATTTGAACGATTGAACTCGGTTGTGTTCGTGTGTACAAAAACAACAATAATAATAAAAACAATTGGTGTGGCTGAAAGTTGCACCAAATATCACACAAGACATTTATAACTTGTTCATGATAGCATTCAAAATACATACAATTAATGAACGACATACTCTCGAAGATCATACGCATATCACAAGCACGAACACGGGTGAGAGGAACATAAAAAAAAAACAATGGACGCGACAAAGATGCAATCGCACACGGGAACATTGTTTTATATTGAAAAACAAGATTTCATTCTCATAATGACTTTTATTTTATTCTGCACGTGGCAGATAAACAGCTACGTCGACCGACCACACCGACAACCAGCGACACCAGCAGAGCGTCCATCCACAAACAAAGCCCCGTCGGGTGGACGTAGCAACCCCTCCACCCCCCCCCGCATTCCGTTCTCTCACCCTCACCTTTCGTTTCTCCCCCCCACCCCCTCCTTCTCCCCCCCTCCTCTCTCTCAGAGGACGAAGGACGACGGACGCAGCGTCATCAATCGGGGGACCTTCCACTTCGCACGCATACAAGGCGAGCAGGTGCCACTACGACGTCTCTCACGACCCTCCATCGCCATCATTTCCGTCGTCCTTCCTTTTGTCGACAACAAGTCCCGTCCCCATCTAATCCATCTTTGCCGCCACGTCAGGGTCCACCAAACTGATACTGTGGTTGAAGCTTACTCTGCACACTGCCCACTCCGGGATGTAGTTGGGAAACATACCCAACGTCCCGGGCGGCTTCCCAAGGCGAAACAAAACAACATTCCAGGAGTCGACACTATGCATGCACCAGTTGAACGCCTGCAAACCTGTCGCCAACAGCGTGGGCTTCGGGACAAGCTACAAGTAGTACGACTTTGCTTAGTGAGAACTGACATCATCGTCACCCATGCGTATGATCTACATGTTAGCGGTGAGAAAGAGGAGGAAGGCATCACCGATTCTGTTCAACCTGGACTGGGACATCTTCCCGTTCTCGGACCACTGGCCATCGCAGAGCACGTCTTGGAAGCAGGATGCCAAATGCAAGACCGTGGATTCCTGAAGGACAACCATGTCATCGCCCTTCGGCCTGTTCTGAATGTACACCCCAACATACCAGAACGAAATATCCATCTTGAGGGCAAGTGTGTAATAAACGACGATGGGAGAAACCACCCTCGACCACTCCAGGGACTGCCACACTGCTCTCGCCAGATTCGTCGGGTAGTCAACCAAGACATACGACTCTGCGCGGGCGAAACCATCGACTCTAGAAGGGAACTTGAAAATTCACCCATGGATCACGCGCATGGCCATATTCTCCATGTTCCTCGCCCTGCGAAGAGCTGGTTCGCATTGCGCTAGATCTTCAATCCGAAAGCGGAGGACGTTGTTTGTTGGCATGATGCACAAGCGGTTATCGGGTAGCTGGAAATTCAGGAATGAAAATTCAGAAGTGAGAGTTTTTGGCAGTCTAAAAACCTTGAATGGTCCCGAAGTGGTGAAAGGTCCGAAAACCCTGAAAACCACCTATTTAGGCAGGCTGCATCCTGAAGTGGTGAAGGGTGTCCTGAAGTGGTTAATTGTGAGTTTTGGGCAGTCTGAAAATCCTGAATGGTCCTGAAGTAGTGAAAGGTCCGAAGATCGTGGAAACCACCCTTCACCACTTGAGGATGCAGCCTGCCTAAACATGTGGTTTTCAGGGTCTTCGGAGCTTTCACCACTTCAAAACCATTCAGGATTTTCAGACCTGAATGGTCCTGAAGTGGTGAAAGGTCCGAAGACCCT